AGCTCCAATGGTAGACCGCTAAGCAGTTGGAGTGTACGTCAATGCTTTTCTTTGAATGTCTTTTCGACAATCAGTGTGCTTTTATGTTTCTGTACTGCATTCTTTCTTGCTTTTACCTAACAGCACTTGCTTTTTATTTTATATAACATCATGCTGAAAATAGCTATTGCATGTATTATGTAAATTTAATTTGACAAATTATGAGCTTCGAACGTGACATTATTTTATAGCATAATTTGCTATCTGTTGATAATAATTAGAAATTTTTGCACTGTCCAAGAACATGTTGTATATCTCTACGCTTAAAAACACTAATTTAATTATCTATCATAAATGGAACAATGCAAGGAATCTAAATCATTAATCAATTAATATACAGGTCATTTAAAAAAACGTTAAACTGCTAAATATCTCTTTAACTATGGGTTGTAGACCTATGAGTCTAACTGAGAAAAGGTTCCATGTAAAATAAATTTTAAGTTTCCATGTTGCAGTAATTTTTGTGATCTTCGATGTTTTAAAAAACATTTGGAAATCTATACATTTCTACTGCAAATAAACCATAAGTGATAATGTTATTAGTTATTGTCTAATAAGGGGGAAATGAGCTCATAACGATGTAATTAAAATTACTTGCGATAATAATCATCAATATTTTAATGGGGAATTGCGAACGTAAACCAATTTGAAAACATAAGTAAAGTACGAAATTATATTTGTCGAAATGCAAATTTCAAGTATTTTACTTGAGGAAACTCACTTTTTATACTGACTTAAATTTCGACAGCTTCTATACTTCTTTTCGTAGGGAGAAAGTAGTTTAAAGATCAAATAATTTTTAACAATTTTCAAAATCATTAAGGCTATTCCAATGTTACAGAACCCTTTATTTTAAATATATTATTAATAAATATGAATTTATTCACTAAAGCTTTATTTAAAAACTGTTATATGGAGTATTTTATATATTTTTTGCTGAAATCAAATGGCTAAATTTTATAACCTGAATGTCTAATCAACTTGCTTTTCTTTAAAATAAATCCATGGAATTTGGCATTCCTTTCAAGAATTGTTTAATCGTAAATCCGATTGAAATACTTTACAGGGTAAATTTCATATTAAAGAATGCTTTAATGAAGTTCTAAAAGTGCATAGGTTTTTTATTTATTTTCGAGAAAATAATTTTGTGGCTTCTGAAACTTGTAAACTTTCCACATTTGCAAAAAAGTAGTGGAAAAATCCTGCATCTGTATGAAGGCGACTCCATTTACCATTCTCTATTTTGCACCATTTTCGAGGAACGTATCTTCAGTGGATTTTCAATTTTAATACTGTCCTTTGGTACAAATTCTGATGCTTCAAAGTCTGCACATACCATTTTCTTAAAGCATTTCTGAGAGAGAATAGAGCAGTGATCTAAGAAGACTGATCTCTTTTAAATTTTACATTCTTAAAGCGCAGTTAAAGAATGCTCTCGAATCATTTCCACTTAATTTTTTTCATGATACTCTAAGAAAATTCTTAATGCAGTCAACCGTCGGACTGTAGAACTTCTGAAGAAAGACATAGCAACGGAATTCATCCATGACTCTCCTCTTATACAAAGAAGCCTTGAATTGCTTTGCCGAAATTCATTTATCCAGTCTTCCATAGTAATCATTATTCTGCTGTGCTTAGCTAAGCTAAACTGGTCTGCAAAACTTAATCAACAATGTAAAAATTTAGCAGACAGCCATGAAATTGCAGAAAAGGAGATCTAGAGATCAGTACAATGAACACGTAAGTCAGTAGAAACGTCATGCGTATGCAAATATCAGGAACGAAATGTCAGAGGCGACGTGAGCGTACACAAAACGCGTGAAGTCGGCGCGCGCAGCTCAACAGTAGAATAAAAGGAAGGACGGAGACGCAATTCAACATATTCGCTGCGAGTGCCAGTGAGTCATTTCGTGAAATATGGCTAGAAGAAATCACCTGGACACGTGGAAGAATGATCGGAAAGCTGGAGGAGGGGCGTACTGTCACTAGTGTAGCTGCAGAGTTCGGAATCAACAAAAGTGTCATTTCGCGCGCTTGGAAAGCGTTCCAAACCACAGGTACAGCTGTTAGAAAGGTTGGTGGTGGCCGCCGGAGGACGACAACTGCAGGGAATGACCGATATATCGTCCTGTAGGCGAAAAGAAGCCACAGCACTCATCAAGCGCCATTGTTCAGCACCTCTGTACAGCAACGGGGCGACAAGTGTCGCGGCTTACTGTGGCCAGACGCCTTCACAAAGGGGGCCTATTCTCCCGCCGTCCTGAACGCTGCATCCCGTTGAAAGTTGGCCACCGACGCCACAGTTTACAGTGGTGCAAAGAGCACAAAAACTGGACAACTGATCAATGGAGTCTTGTCCTCTTTACGGATTGAGAGTCGGGTCAGTACCAGAAGCGATTCTGAACGCGTTTTGATTTGGAGAGAGGTCGGAACCCGGATTTATTCAAGTAACATCAAGGAAAGACACCGTAACTGTGGTCCTGGAGTTCTTGTCTGGGGAGGCATTATGCTGAACGGGCGAACTGAGCTCCACGTTTTCGACAGAGGATCTGTAACCGGGGATCGCTATTGTGAGGAGGTACTCATTCCCCATGTGCGTCTGTTCCGAGGTGCCATTGGCTCAGACTTAATTTTTATGGATGACATTGCACGGCCACATCGGACTTTTGCTGTTGAGGAGCTACTGGAAAGTTAAGATATCACTCGAATGGGTTGGCGAGCGTGCTCCCCAGATTTAAATCTCATGGAATATGTGTGTGAGATGTTTTGGGGAGACGCATTAAAGCACGCTTACGTCCTCCGGAGAACTCAAACAGATACTGATTGAGGAATGGGCACTCCTACCGCAAGAAATGTTGTACCAGCTGGTTCTGAGTATGCGGAGACGGTGCGAAGCAACCATTGCAGTGAGGAGAGGGCATATCCCATATTAAGGAACATCTGCTTGTTGTTCTTCCTCTTGGATAGACAATCATGAGTCACGATATTATGCGTTTAATAAAGCTTGTTTTTGTTTGATTCCATACCGTATGCGTTGTATTCCTTTTTCAGCTCCGATGCTGTCGTCATCCTTTACGTACATAATATTCTCCTTCATTTCTGCATTTCATGTCTCTCAGTTGATTTCTCGTGGAGTTATGGCAAAAAGCCCTGCTGTTGCTTAAGTTTTGCACACCAGTGTACATTCCAGCGCACAGAATCTGGGCTAAGAAAATCACAAGATTTTCTCCTAAATTTCATATTGAGCAATCATTTCACACTGACTTTGAAGTGCATTTTTCTCACACTAAACAGTGATACTGTGCTAGACTCGTTTTCCGAGCGGTATTTGGAGGCAGAGCGTATGAACTAGCTGTTTCCAATTCCTTTACTTGTATACAGAACCCAAAATAACGAACCAATGCAATTATTTTGGTAGAACCATCAGATTATACAAATAGATCTAATCTTGCTAATTTTAAAGTAACATTCTAAAACACTCAGTTTATGTTAAATATCTAAGATCTTTAAAATTTATACAGAAAACCAACTTAATTTGTCGTAGATTTCTTATATTCTACCGATTTTGAAGATGAGATATTTATTCAAAATCTACGGTTGTTTCTAAAGTCTCTAATCTACGGTTGTTGTTTTGCCTAACTTTGAGTTTTACTTTGTATTTTTCTTCCAGTTTATTCGAAGATCCCACATTATTAACTAGTTTTGGTTTTACACTGTTGCATTAATTTTAGGAAGATTATTGCGGTATTTTCTGTTCCCTTAAATATGTGAAATCTTAATATATTTTAAAATGCTTATGAAAATTTTAAAACTGTGTCGCCAATAGATTTACAAGAATACAGGATATCTTCTCTTCTACATAGATTATCTCGGTTTCTGTTTTTTGATCGAATTTCGCGCTGTGATCATAAATTAGAGATGAATAAGCACCATTCACTACAGATGAGCGTAAACATGACGCAAAGAAGAGGACATTTAAAGTTTTATTTATCTTTGTTGTAGCGTAGGTACTGCTTAATATGATTGCGGTTAACGTTTTTATTCATATATCGTTATCGAATATCGTTTGTATATGAAAACATGAAAAATTATCGTTTACTGTGATTTGGTTAATTTTATCAAAATTCTGTAGCATAATGTTTTTAACTGAAGTAAAGTCGCCAAACAAGAAATGAATTCGCCAAATAAAATCATAGCAGATCATAAAAATTGACCAGTGAAAAATATCGCCAAGCAAGAGGTTAAGTCACCAAACAGCTTGTTTTCGATTTTAGTAAATTATTTAAAATTAGATAAAAGAGCAACTTTAGTTTCGCATACATTTTGAATAATTTTATAGATTTTGAGGGGCATCAGGCACAAATCCCTTTTCTTCAGGAACAAAACAATTCTGAAGAGTTTCATATCCTGTTCTTGGAGAAAATATCCCCTGAAAACATCTAAGCGAAAGTAAGGCTGCTTTTGTGCCTAATTTAAAATTTTACATTACATGTTCTCTTCCAATGAATAAGGGATGCATTTCAAGTATTAATATTAGGGTATCACATCTGTCAAATAACGTCCAGAAATGTTATGAACAGGTCATAACGAATTTTTGCGTGAAAGACGTTATCAACAGTTCATAAAAATATTTTTGCGTTTTTCTAAGGATAATTGTATGAAAGTATTTATATATACGTTTCTTAATGTATTTGTGTTAAATTAGTTAAATTCTATTGCTGTTTCGAAAGATATTTTGTCTCAATGTGTTATCATGCGGTTAATGTTACCAAAATAGCCTTAGACAAAAGTGATTACATTAAGAAGCTCATATATGAATATAAATTATACATTAAATTTTATCCGTTATTTTTCCTTCGTGATCGAATTACTTTCAATTACCTATATTCTTCTGAAGTACTGTAAATTTAGAAATATTTGTCGTTATTTATTTTATAATCATTTTATTTCCCACATTGCAGGTGATTGACCTCATCCGCCGATCCATGTACCGTTTCCGTCTACGTTATTCGTTGGACGTCCACCCGTCTTCCGTCACCACTACATCTGAACTTTCAATGGGTCGGTCGAGGCAGTCGACGGATGGCGGAATAGAATGCTCTATTAGGTCATGCCGAAGAAGTACCAAAGAAACAGCAATAATGGAAGCTGAAACCGAGCTCAAAATGTTATCGTCAGCTCAAAATAAGAATTCTACGAACCCGAACTCAATGGAGACTTCACTTATTATACACGAATAACATGTAAAAATTATCTAAATATGTTGGATTTCGCTGTTTCTGCAAGGGTGAAGAAAACCATTGATAGGGCGCCCTATTTTTAGCTTGTGATTCAGTAGAAATGTGCAAACATTTCTTTGTTTATAAAGCACAAACAGAAGAATATTTTGCAGTATATATATTTAGTCAGTAATGGCGAATCATTAGGTAATTCGATAATTAATTAATCCCACTCGCGAATTTGGGATAGGAAAAAACAATTCATTACATGTTTATACATTAAAACTACCAATTTTGATTGATATGCGATGCCATATATTACGTACTGACACAACAGATTTTAAAAAAAATAAATATGAGTAAAATTAATCAGATGCATTAAAAATGATTATTCCAATAATTTCACTATTGTAAGTACTTTCTTGCAGCACATTTAATATAGGACGAAAAGACTGTGATCATCCAAAAGCATATAGTGAGGAAATTAGTATAAAACGCACCTTGTCCAATAGCAGGGAACTTCACCGGATCACTGGCAGTGGCTGAAATCATCGGGCATTTGATTATGTCACAATCAAGATGTATACGTTGTCGTTTATATGTACGTTGTGAGGACGCGCTACAGAGGGCAGTCAAATCTTGCAATCAAGAAGAGACAGTCGCATATAACGAAGCCTTATACGACAGTTGAAGCAGCATCCTCAGTTCTGGTCTTAGCCGTCAGCTTCTACTAATCACACTACCATCCAAGGTAGCAAGAGAAATGATAAAATGTTAAGTATTTGCTATAGAGAAAATAAGAGTTTATTCTGCGATGTCGACAAAAATGTCTGAGTTTAATTTAAAAGTCTGATTTCTGAAGTATTGACTTATTCACCATATGTTATCCTGCTTCATACAGTGATTTCGATAGTTACAGAAAAAAAATGGTGTACACTACATTTCATTTGACTAACAATTATTAATGTTTTGGGGGGAGTGAGTCTTACTCGTGAAGAGTAAAGTTGAAGGCAGGTAGTTTTAGCACTTCACATCCAAAGCAAGTAGCAACGTCAGATTGTTTTAGTTCGTTTTAAGTTATTAATAAGCATTCTATTGATTATTGGAGGTGCTAAGGTAACAGGATTCATCATAATATTCATAAATTTTCAAGACTTGTTTCGAAGGTTTAAATACAGAATATAACATTTCTTCAGTTGCAGAAGTGCAAATGACGAAAGAAAAGCATTTGCTCGGGCGATAACAATGAAATTAAATTACGGTACTGGCAAGTATCCGAGTTATGCAGCTGAAAATTTTTTTATTTGAATCTTCGAATCTAATCCTGAAATTTAATGAATATTACGTTGTTATCTTAACACCTCCAATAATCGTTATTCGGCGTGTTGCCTTCAGTCTGATTATATAAACATGCTGTTGGTTCGCCATTATTGCCCTAGATAACCGAAAATTGAGTATGAATTATTTTTACAGCAGAATACAGCATTTAATCATCAGTTTTGGAATATAATACTTAAATAAATCAGTGAAAATTTAATCCACCGTTAACAAAAAATCTATTTTCAAAATTTAAATTTCAATCCATTTATGTCAAATTTTATTAAATTTGACAGAATTTAATACTCTTTGTATAATTTATAAGAGTTTAGAGGATAATCTAAATGTCAAACATATTTGATTACTTTCGAAATGTATTACGTAATAGCTGGTAAAAGAAGAAGAGCTTCTTGACCATGAGGATGATTTTATGAAAATGAATTTGGAAGCAAAGCATTGACCATTATTTATTTATTTTTCGTTTCCCTTGTAAATGCTTTGAACACTTTTCCACATTTCGGAAGTGTATTTCAAAATATTTATATGCATTTTAAAAGGCTTCTTAATTTCTATTCAAGGATTTACTTACAAGAAATGGTTTAGGTATAAATCTACCGATTTAGATTAAAATAATATGTTATGGCATTCTTGTCTATATGTTAATAGTGGTACTTTCAAATGTATGTACTGTGTATTGGATTTTGATGTCTTTAGCATAATTTTATATATGTATATAACAAAACATATTGCCCTGAATCCGTTTCGTAGCATTTTAATGTTTCAACCCCTCTCTGTATTTAAAACGGTGCTTGTAACAACACACGGTGTTATGCACAAATATATCACGCACTCCTTTAGGGCGCCAAATTTAGCGTAGTAAAATACCATTTTCGTAATGGAACCAATATTCAATGTTTAAAAGTTATGGTAAGCCAATAAAGTTTGCATACATAAAAGATAATACAATGCAGTACACTAAGCAGTGCAGTTAGAAATAATCGTGATACTGAATAAATAAAGCAGGTTAGATTCATTGCAAATCTAATCAAGATATTACAATAAATATTGTTTCAAATTTTATTAAAACGTATGTCATCACTTCGCTATCATATTTGCACTTCATCTGAATACCTTTGATGTCTGTAGTATAGCTTTTCTGAATAAATAAAGTTGTTTTTAAACACATTTGAATTTCGATGCAAAATTTTCAATGAATTAATTCCATCCAGTCTAAAATCTCTTACTTTAAAATATTTATTATATAAAGGATGCGTAGATTGAATAATCCTTCAAGTCTTCTTTAACCTTTTCTGGTTTAATGCAGAGAAGATTTTACTTTACTATGAGCTCTTAGACACTATCGCATATAAACATAAATTATGAATTAACGACACTCAATATTGCATATATTAAAATGTATGTGATTGTAATAGCTGGAATATTTTCTGAACTATGATGAAGACTGTCTGGAGTCAAATATCATTTTATCATACTATAATATTTCTCAATTATATGCTGCAATCGTTTACTTCTATAAAACTCAGAAAGATAGTGCACTTGCGGGAGGCGTTGAGAGCGCAAAACAGCAATTTTTAAAATCAGCAACAGATTAACATGCCCTTTAGATGCTCCCTGTATTGGCAAACATCGCCTTTAAAATATCTAAACTAAACCAGATCAAGGGAACAACTGGTTCATAGTAGTAATTACACATAGCCGCCAGAGACCGGCAAAGCCCCCAAACCATTAACTGCAACATCACATAAAGCTACCCTAGGATGTGACTCACCGCTACTACATTTCGTTATGCCTCAGCTTAGAACAGAATTGTGTAATTTTTCGAAAAAAATTAGTGTCACGTGCTTCTTTAAAAATTGCCATTAAAAAAAATTAATTTGTTTCTTGGATATGCTAATATGCGCAGATTATCTCTGATGAGATTGAAGCTTTCAGAGAAAATCTAAAAATTGTCATGTTTATATTGTCATAAGCGCCGAAAATCTTATAGCAGTCACGTTATGTTCGGAAGGAGAACTAAGAATAGAAGCCCCCACGATCACAAATTTATCTCTTTCATACATAGTGACTTCTAAGCATTCAATATGATTATAAAATGAATTACCAGAAATCTTACTTGCTAAGTTAAAATTAGCTTTAATATACTATATACATTATTAATATTTATAAAAATCAATATTGTATTTTAAAGCACTGGAATAATTTGAAATCTATTATAATGTATGAAAGTGTTGTAAGAAGTTGTAAATTTGATATACATTCAATCTCATTCTCAAATTTTCCAGAACTTTATTAACTATTTTGGCTCATTTTGAAGTGATGCAAATCAATATAGACAAATACAGCAGTTTTTCCTTCTTACATAAATTGATATCTCGTTGTTGTGTATTTTATGTCTGTGTACAATCTTGCTGAATGTAATAATTGTATTTGAATGTATCTTGTTGACATCTATTAAAATATACATAAGTGAGACTTGTTTCTTTGTGTTATTTCGTGTTGTTGCTTTAAAATAAAAAGTAGTAAATTTTTGCTTTTAATACCATAATACTATTTTAGAATAAATATTCTTTTCATTGATTTGTTAATTCTGTAATCGATGTTCATGGTTTTGCTATAGGTTATGGCGTTAAAGCATAAAAAATTCAGTAATCCATGAATCAAGAAAAATGCCACCAATATAAATAATCGATTTCGAAGTTGTCAAACAGCGAATTATGAAATAAAGACTACTTAAGGAGATAGAATAATAAATATATCTACTTAAATTACTTAATTCAAATATCGTACATTTAAAATTAAATGAATAAAAGTTTAGAATTAAAAGTTCTTAATAACTCTTTAACAGTTAAAACAACTGTTATCAGTGTAATAAAAACATTTTCATCCCTTATTAATTGCTAATATTTCATTCAAAATGTTTACCTGTCATGAATTTTTGAGTTTCAAGTTTAGATTTTTATTTTTCATTAGCAGTTACTTTAAAGTGGCTGAAAATTGAAGTTAATTAACAAACAAAATGGCAAACTCCTTTTAAAATTTGAATTTCTGAAACATAGCCAAAATCTTATTGAACTCGTTCATGACTAAAGGTTCCAGTGTTATTCAGTAGATGCAGGGTAAATTAACGATACTGTCCACTAAAGGCACTAAGAATAATTAAGAGCAATACATATATTTTCAGTAAACAGTTCTCTACTAATCGCCACCGTCAATGAACACATGCAAAGCAAGCATTGGAAATGAAAAACTAGGTTCTTTATTGCTGTATAGATATTTAGGATGTTATGTGATGTGAACATCCATCTTAGTATCCACAAATGATTTCAGAAAATCCTCAGATAATTCGGCCATTGAGTGAATGCATTTACTGGTCATTCTCACAAATAAGATATAGAGCCTTAAACCATTTTAAAATGACTTGCTTGGGCCCAATATGCATATAAAATTAACGTTAAGTTCTACTGCTGGTAACTAAATGCTAAGAGATGTGTTTAATACATATATATACAGTTTTATATGTAAAAAAGGTAAATATTTCCAATAAATAATTGTAATTTCACCTACAGATTTAAAACCACATATATTATGCAGTGCGATTTTCATAAGAATTGAACTGCAGTTAAACATAGATATATTTTTAGATGACATTTAAGCAATTAATTCGTTTCCAAATCACTGTGCTTTAGAGTAGAAGCTTAAAAAATAATGTAATATAATAATTTAAATTATGAAATTTTAAAAAGCCCCATTTGTGCTACATATTCTTGCGATCTACACATGATGAAGTTTCAACTTACAGTAAATTTCAAATAATTATTCCATTTTACAAATTTGGATAAATTTAACAATTCTCTGTATGCAACGGGCGTTTCTTTTACTTCTGTTTGTTTCAAATATGAACATGTTTAAGAAACATAATCGCCGACATTCAATTCTGAAACGTATACTGAAACGTTTTTATTATGTCATCAGAATTTCGTTATTAGAGCAAAAAAGGAAATTACTCGAAAGCTATTAAAATTATTTAATAGCTCTTAAGGTTTAAACGCACGACAAGATGATGGTCCACTTTCAAGAATATTCTAATGAAGAGCAAATATTGTGTTTCAAGAATTTTATTAAACAAAAGATTAAAATCTATATAGGTTTTTTTCGTCAGACGATGATTCAGTATGATGGCATATATAGGAGTCGTACATAAGTGAGTAGACTTACGAAGTCATTAGTGCGGAGCATCAATAATTCCACATTAATGAAAAATGGCATCAATAGTATGGAAAATTCCCCTTACCCGGATTCCCCTGTAACCTGGACATTAATTTTAGGGCAGCCGTTCACATTATTCATGATGTAAAAAATATCTGCAAAAAAAAAATTTAAACAGTTACGTAAGCATTGACATCTGAAATGAACGAAAGACGTGCCTGTGCTTACTGGAAACTTCCTTTTCAATATATGGTTGTTAGTGAAGTTATTCTGCGTCACTATACATGAGACCTGCGTATGTGTCTAAAGAGGAACAAAATTTCGAGATATCATGGGACTTTGCGATGCACATGTGGCTGCGGTGTCCACTGAACATAACGCAGCAAAAACATCGAAAGGCAAACCGCTGTCGCACAAAGCAATTTGACGAAAAGAAAGCAAAAAGAAAACATCCCAAATCTTAAATTATCGTGTTATAAAACATTTTTATCAAAACTAAAGCATTTAAAAAACATCTCAGTTTTAAAAAAATATCGTGGTAAAAGATAAATCAGCTTGTGAGGTTCCTTTATGTTGCTTAACAAGTTGTTTAATGTTTTCGATATGAACTGTCCCTACCCCTTTCCGGTTTCCCACCAGAATGCAAATTTAGTTCGCGTGTGTTTAAAGGAAGGTTTCCCAAGAGTGTATGCTGCCTCTCTTGGCCACGTTACTCGGTCGCTATCTTAGATAAAAGCTCTTTCTTTCGGCCATGCATTATTATTGCCAACAGTTAAATTTCACGCTGGTTAAGTTCTGAGCCAAATTCGCGTTAAATTTACTGCACAGTATGTGACTATAAGTTTATTTGAATTTAAATTTACATTTGACTTATTGTTACTTTACGTTACCTTCCACAAGTGGTTGACAAAACTGTAAGCATACGTGTGCCTTCTGTTCTTATTTAGTTTTAATAAAGGGCCTTTTACACCCTTCCAAAGTTTCAATTTTTATTTAGATTCAACGATAAGTCACTTAACGTGTACCAGGACTTTAGTCACTTTGGATGATTGCTAAAGACGTTAAACTGTACACAGTTGCCGCCGGAACTAAGTAAGGATTATGCCTCAGGAAATCCACGTTTAGTCTGACCCCCCTCCAACATCACAGGCTCCACTGGCCCCAGTAAATGCCGTGAAAGGGTTTGGATAAATCGGAAATATGATCAGAGCGTCGATGAAAACTACTGTGAATTCTGATGGAATAAGTTCGGTAATAATACTACTTATGATGGATACCAATTAGTCTTTAATAATAATCCTCTTGGGGTGGCTAATGAAGTTAAATATTTAAGTATTTTGCTGGACAGAAAATTTAACTGGAAAATGCATATTTCTTATATTTCTAATACGTAGTAATGATTTCAGCATGGGCTGAATGGAATTGCATCTTTTGCTGTTAAATAGAATATTAGCACAATTATTTATAAACCAGTTATTGCTCCCTTCATTTCATATGGCTGCGAGGTTTGAGGATTGCTCCTAAAATTTAAGATTGGCTCTAATCGGCTGCCTCGAGTTCAGAGATGAATTCTGCTGCAAGTTATCAGGAGTAATCGAACTTTAAGTTATAATAATGTCTTCACTTTTGCCGGCTATCTACCGTTGGATATGATTATTCTGCAATGCATAGGTTTCAATGCTAACCTTTCTAATCGCTTCAGTTCTCATTTTGATCGTTTTCTGCCTTTATTTGCTTTTCCTCATTCATCTGTAAGTCAACCAATATAAATTTCGGATAATATGGATACTGATGAAAACTCATTCTCAGTTATGAGCTATGCGAATGGTAGTAGAAGTGCTGACAGAGTCGGATTTGATTTTGTAATCTATGAGGAAGATGTTGAAATTGAGCACCACCAATTTCGTATTAGAAATGAATGTAATGTTTATATTTCTGAACTTCTCCGTATTAGTTTTACAATTAAGTGAATACTTAGCCAGGATAGGCATGTTTCCAGCTACTTAGTCTTTTCCCTGAAATCCCTAAAAAATACCTTTTCTCTCTCTTCCGCGGAATCCCTAAAAATATCTCACGTAATGATATTATTGTTAGTATTCAATAATCTCTTCGGGATCTACTGGAGGAGGGTGTTCAGTATTTTTCACATTTTCTTTTTCATTTCCATATATGCCTACGTGCCCACGCACATAGACATATATGGAAATGAGAGAGCTATTCCAAAATCGTTCTTGCTATAATGATTGAATAATGGAATTATGGTTTTATCAATATAGTTATTTATTATCAGTATAGTTATCAATATAGTTAATAGTTATTTACAGCTATTATAGGAAGACTGAAAAAATAATTAATATTTGGCCAATTTTAAAGTTACTCAATTTTTGTCTGGACATGGAAAGTTTAATAATGTTTAGCTTGAATGGTTTAAGCTGACCTATTACAGTTTATGGCATTGTTGTCTGGGTGTTCAGCAAAATGTCTTCCACTTATCGTTTGATTGCTATTTGCATAATAATGCAAAACATTCATTGAAATGTAGCCTGAAATTAATTTACATTAATTGGCCAACGAACTGTCATAATTTGTTTCTCTGCCTTGGGCCTACCTTGCATATTTTAAATACTGTAATTTTCTTTGTATTTTATTTTGAAATCATATATGTTTGATTTATTCGTGTTATTGAAATTTGACGTGTTTTTCTTCTCTTACATTTTCCTCTTAAGACTTTTGTGATGCTTTGTGGTGCACAAGGAAATTTCTTTTTCTCTTAGTAAAAAAAACAGCATAAATATGCAAAGGCTTGCACATAGCACGAAATAAAAATGAGTTTACAGAAATTTACAACGAAGTCTAAAATTTAAATGTATATAGATTAAGGCCCTTTTGGTCTAGATGTGAAACCCATGTACAGCGGAAGTATTTTGTTTTCATCTTACATCATAAAACTTAAAGAATGTAAAAGTCAGGAATTATTACTTTCCTTTAGAATTGTATTCTCTGTTGCCTCACGTTTCAACGAGAAGAAACGACAAATGATACATTGAAGATGTCGTGTTTGCCGAAGAAAATATAAATTTATGGGTAATAAATAACGTGTAGGCAAGAAAGCTATATATCAAGAAAAGAAGTAAAGAAATCCACGGCAAAAAAGGCGGCCACAATTTGTGACAGTGAAGATAGTTGGCGTTTCCTTAAAAACCATTTTTCAACGGAAATTTTGTGATTTCTAAAAAACTTCTTTTGCTGATGGAAGTATGAAGAAA